ACTCGCTCATCTTTTCTTCATCCATCCATCCCTTCGAGTTAGCTTTGATGAAGACGCCGGCTGGAAAGTTTTCTTTTGGCAAAGTCTTCCTCTTGAAAATAACCATGGGGGGAAGTTTCTGGCCATTAACCTGGCAAGCGAGAACTACAGTGAAGGATGACTTCTCATTCCCTGTGGTGCGATCATTTACCGTACGTGCTCCCGTTTTATCGACAGTGCGGTTCACGGGAATATCAAAGGTGAGTGGAACTTCGTCCATGTTGATGATGTGCTCTGGCCGGATTTTTTTCAGTAATCTTGTTGTTGCAATATGCGCGAAAAGTGGCCAGCTTTTCTTGGTAGTCTTTTGGCAGTTGCTGTGAAACAGTTGTTCGTGTAACGTTCCTGGCACTGGAGCTGGCTCCACCCACCGTCTGCACTCCTGATCAGCATCCACACCCCGCAATCAACCTTCATTGTTTCCACCTGACTCCACCTGCACTTAAGCTCCGTCTCAGCCAGTCTCCAGTGCCAGAACGTCTCGAGCCAACCCGGTGAGAACTTCCAGCGTTATTCCTGATCATCTGTCTGCCTGCCTGTTACCCGACCTGTCTCTGCCTCTGATTCCCGAGCCTGCCTGATTCCTGTCTGATTTGTCCACCTGCCTGAGACCTACCCCGCCAGCCTCTGGATCCTGACTGCCTGCCCGTGTTTCCGACCCTGCCTGCCCGTGACTACGAGAACCTGCCTGCCCCTCTTGGACTGCCTCGCGCGAATCTGGACTCAGGACTGGACTTGGACCCCCTTTGGATTTACCTCTGGTACCATCGCTGGATTTATTGGCCTTTCCGTTACCGGACCCGGACTTCCCTGACTACGCTTCCGGATTATCCCTCAATAAACTTTGCTTAAACTGACTGACCGGCTTTGGGGTGTCTTTGGGTCTGAACACAGATCGTTACAGTTCGTGTGCGGAACGTGTGGTCTTTTCATAAACCGAAAGCACCGAGAAGGACCCCCTTTAAAGTCATTAATGCCAAGTTCGCTTGCTAGAGCGGTTGCCTTAATTCGAATAGTGATTGTACTGACACTTATACCTGCTGTTCTCTGTTCAACAAACCACTGTTCGAGTTTGTCCTCCAAATGTAGCCATCTCGCTTTATTCCCTCTAAAACTCTTTCTAGTATTCTTTACTTGGCGTAGGTCATCTTGTTGCTTCCTCCACTTTCGCACCATTGATTCGTTAATGTTAAATTCTCTTGCTGCTGCTCTATTCCCGTGTTCTTCTGCGTGACTGATCGCCTTGAGTTTAAACTCTGCGTCATATGTGTGTCTCTTCATAGGAGCCATTTTGGGGTCTTTACCTAAAAAACAAATGGAAATGAAATATATATACTGGTATATATCCAGCATGCACCACACACGGAAGAAAATGAAGTCGGCAGCTGCTTACTGTAGTTGCGAGACCTGTTGTGGCTCAATATTGGTCCATATATAAGGCGCACCGGATTATAAAGCGCACTGTCGGCTTTTGAGATAGACACGAAGTGTGGAGGAAGAACTTGTTCCAAACCCTTTCCCTACAGAACAGGAAGAGGAAGAAGAAGAGGAAGACCTACCAAATAGAGATGTTTTAGAAAAAATGGTGCAGTACATATACCACCACAAGAGAATGCCACCTGTACCAGACACTAATATGGTAATCACAGATCATTTCCCAAGATCGTATACCCCAACAGAAACATTTTGAGCTTCATGTTCCGAGGCAACTCTACTCGGGGAACCGGAGCTAATAACAACCAACGGCAGAATCCTCACTGTTACGGGTGTTATTAAATGTTTGTCAATTTCTTTCCCTCAGGATTGAGAAA